GTCGGCTGTCGACCGTGGACATGACCCTACCGCCACGCGAATCCTATCGACGGACCCGCTCTACAAGGAGATGAAGGAACGGGCCAGAAACGTCAATACGGATGATCCGCACGACTACGTGCGTGAATTGTTCAGACATACGCTCAAGTTACGTCGGCCGTGGTGGAAGCTCGAGGTCCACGAGCAGCGCAAGGATGACACGGGACGCGACCTGGAACCCGTCATCCACAAGTTCGCTGTCGGCGCACCGTACTTCCAGGCTCCCGGTGTGGCTGGACGGTTCACGCGTGGCTACATCGCCCTGCCTGTCAACGATCAAGGTGGAATCAGCAAAGATGCCACGTTTGTGTTTCTGAAGGACGCGTGGCGCGTGGATCACCCCGGGATCGAGCAGGAAGGGGCGACGCTGCAGTTCCTCAATCAACGTAAGGTGCCATACGTGCCGACGTTGGTGTGCCACGGCGACCTTGGGCAGGTCACTCAGTCGCAGAAACACTGGAAGGAGTTGCATCCCGAAGTAGAGAAGGTCCCTTTGAAGACGCACTCGCATTACCGGGTTGTGGTGAAGGAGGTCGGGCTTCCCCTTACGGAATTCCTGGAGAGTTCTTCCGAGTTATGCTATGCCTTGTATTGTTGTATCAAAGGTGTGTGGCGTTGGTAGCACATTGACTGATTGGCTGACCGCTTGGATTTAGCCCATGCCGCAGCCTTCGATGCTGGCATCATTCATCGCGATATCAGTGCAGGCAACCTGTTGATATACAAGGACGACGAGGGCGAGTGGACTGGGCTGCTCAACGACTGGGAACTGTCGAAGAAGGTAGACAACGAATCTCCTGAGGGTCGTCAGCCGGATCGCACTGTGAGTACTTCGTATCGCAATGCGCAGGACATCGGGTGCTGATGTCGTACGTTGCAGGGTACCTGGCAATACATGTCTGCGCACGCCCTCAACGATCCATATCATAGGATCGTCATTGAAGACGAACTCGAGTCTTTCTTCCACGTCCTGCTCTACTACGCCATCCGCTTCGTCCCTCATAACCTCGGTGACGAGGACGTTGGTCTGTTCTTGCATGAATACTTTGACGGGTACTTGTCGACCAATGCCGGGTACCGATGCGGCTTGGCAAAGCGGAACGCGATGGTGAACGGCGTCATAGATGTGTCAGGATACAAGAGCATTCAGGGCGGCCAGACTCTGAGATTCCTTTGGCCAGCTCCTCTCGCCAAATTTACACCGACTCCAGGCCCCAGCCAGCGGTCGTCGTCTCCTGCCCCCAGGAGTAGCCCATCCCCCGCCGAGCACCCATCGGCGCGTCCGAACAGCAGCATTCCTTCGGGACGTTCACCATCCCCCCAGTTCAGTGCCATTTATGGCTCGGATCTCACTCCGTTGAACTCGGACGACTCCATTCCGGAAGAGGAACCGCAGGATGAGCATCCTATTAATGAGATCATCTCTGAGCTGCTGACGTGGTTCCGGGCGTACTATGCCTTGGATATGGAGCACACTCGTACACCCTCTGCAAACTCCCGAACGAAGAAGACGTCGAAAGGCATCATCCCAAGCCGATCCCGGGTGGCCTTGAAGAATGACGGACACCAGGACCAGAAATGGGCTCGTGGGCGCTCCCTCCAGCCCATCGCTGCCAAACTAAAAGAGGACGAAGCCCTCAGGGAGAATCTCAAGACACACGAAGCAATCCTGTCCCTCTTCAACAACTCTTTCGAGAAGGTCTGGCCAGCGAACGACAAGGGCCCCGACAAGAAGCCGAAGGGAGGATGCGCACCACCCAAGTCTGCGGTGCCGTCGGACTCGACGCGGACTAGCTCGAAGCGGCGAAGTATAGACGATATACCCGGCGGCACGCTGCTACGTCCCACCAAGCGCAGCAGGATATAGTCGCTCGCTCAGACACAATCGGGCACTCGCTATACTTCCCGGGCGGCGAATACCGCGATGGTCATCACTGCTCCAGCCGTCCACCTATAACCGCCCCTCGCCGCCTCCTCGCCAGCCTGCTTCGACGGATATCGTGCCTTCCCCCGGGCTAGCATCATCCTCCCTCCTGGCGCGCCACCGCCCGTCCTATGGCCCGCCTCGCCTTCTTGAGACCACGTCGTCGAACCTGAAGACGACCCTTGTCTCCCCAGCTGCCCAACGCAAGCACGCCGTCTGTTCGATCAGTTGCGACCGTCTCCTCACACAAGCTGCGACATTTTGGTGTGTCTGGTCTTGTCTTGAGCGTCCATCTGGGCATGCTATTCCTATGCTCATCACGGTCTCGAGGTCGGCGACCGTCCGTGTTCCAAAGTCACAGCATCGTGCCACAAGTGCCGTGTCTGCGGTACCGGGCCCTTTGTTCCATGTCTGAGCGGTCTGCATTTTCGAGCGCGTCGCACACCCGCGGTCCGTTTGTGTCGCATAAGTAGGACATCCCATTGTTTGAGGGTGTTGTTATATCATACATGTGGTCTGTCCGAGTCCTTTCGAGCCTACTTGGAGCGGTTGTCTTGGACGCTTTATCCTCTGCTCCCGTCTGTACATACCCGTTCTGTAGAAGTAGATACCCATTGATTGTAACCGGTTCGCTTCCACTTCGTATGATCCCCTTCACAGATCTTGGAGTGCTTATTCACAGCTTGAAGCGCGCTATTGTCGCAGCTTCGGACTGCCGACCATGTTCGTCCAGTAGCTATGCACGGTGGGCCGGCTGGTACCCCAGTCTTCATCAATCGCTTCTCGACACGCCTAGGTGACTCGCCAATGGCCCTAAGGACGGGGAATGCCGTAACATGCGAACCTTACGGGATACACCTGACGAGGGCTACTGCAGCATTCAAGTTGCACTTCTCAGGCAGGTGTCATAACTTAGAACGTTCAGGGTTGCGCACATCCACCACCACACCACCATCCCACTGTATCTCTTCTCCCTCGGCTCCTACCGGCATACAGTATGTTTCTGTCACCATCATGTCTAGTTCAACCTATGACCAGCGCTCGTGCGTTCTCCTTCAATTGTTGCCCGCTATGACTGTGTGCTCGATTCTAATCTACCCCTTAGCAGCCTCCCTGCTCTTGCTCAGTCTCACAGCCGAGATATGAAAGTGCCATCGTCATCCGTGCACTCGTAGGCAAAAAACATGCACAGGTTATTCTCGGGAAGAACAGCGTCAACCTCATGAGACTCCAGGAAGAGACTGGCGTCACGGCCAGCCTTAGCGAAGCCATTCCTGGCGTTGGCGAGCAAGTTCTGAGAGTGCTTGGCTCTGTAGAGAGTGCAACAGAGGTGCGAACTTAATATCCCCGCATCAACAGCTGCGGCAGTACGGTCTGTTGATACGCATACCTCGCGACGTTGCAGGCTTACTTCCTCATCGCGTCGGACCTCATCCGCACCCATCCGCTCAGATCTACATCTGTCGAGTCTGACTCTGCACCTACCACCTGTCTTCGCCTCCTGATTCCACACAACATGCTAGGCAGCATCATCGGCAGGCACGGCAGGAAGATCAAAGCCATGCACGCCTCCTCGGGGGCGCAGATCTCCACGCGCGAGCATATGCTCCCAAACTCCACTGAGCACATTATGCAGCTGTGTGGAACATCCGAGTCCATCCGCCGGGCCGTTCGTGACATCTGCCTCTGCTTCCTTGAGGACGATGAACTCTGCGCCGGCACGGTGCTATTCCATCCCGCTGCACCAGACCAGCCGTCATCGCCAGTCACACAGCCAACCGGCACCAGACCCTTCACGCGGGAGATTGATGTCCCCTCGGACATGGTCGGGAGCATCATCGGTCGTGGAGGCACCAACATCAATGAGATGAAACGAATGTCGGGAGCGGAGATCGTCATCGCGAAGGCGCCGCGTGAGGGTGTCGAGAGGCAGACGGTCACCATCGTCGAGACTTATGATGCGTACAAACGGGCGCGCACGCTCCTGTATGAGCACATCGAGAAGACGAGGAGGGCTCGCCATAGCAGGCGAAAATAGGCTTGTCGGATCCGGTCTGCTTCATATCCCTTCACACTAAGTGTAGTCGCAAATACGTTGACAATGTGAATAACAGTTTATGAGGAACGTTGCGGGTGGATAAAAGTATGTGCTGCTTACGCTTGCTGCAGTCACGTAAGTGTCGCGGCGACTAGGCGCGTAGACTCGGGTCGACGTTCGGCGACGACCCCGTAGGCGAGCGGCAAGGAGCTGAAAAGGGGAA